AGTGAAGTTTCCCTTCAGCTTCCATAGCCAAGTGTCCATTTCCTGTGCAGCTTTCCAGATTTACTAAATCCATTTTCAAGTAAATGCGTGTATATATATATTTAAATTATTATTTTTTACACAAATGCAGATTACCTATATTAATCTCTTATAGAGATAAGCCACCATGTATCTAATCTTTCTTTTCCTAATTTATTTAAAAACTATTAGATCATCTCAGATGTAGAGAATAGACAGCACGTGGTTTTCTTTGGTGTGGTTTTCCCTCCCTTACTCCCTTATTTCAGTTTTCTTTCTCTCCTTTCCCCCTCCTACTCTTCTCCCCCACCCCTCCCTCAATCTGTCTCTCTTCCATTAAAATTAGATGCACTCCTCTTCTGTGACAGGGGAGGTGGAGTAGGGGGTGGATAGGGGTGGCAGTACGGGGCATATAGCAAATGCTGCAATCACTAAAGGTCAGAGCTCTAGGAGGGAACATTGTGGGGTTTTAAAGCTTTATTTGTGGCTGACACAATGAAAGGCCCAAGACCTCCAACACCTCCAAAATGCTACATTCCTTCGTTACTAAGGACTATCTGAAGGCAAGTGGCTTCATTCGTCTCTGGTTTTTATTCTTGTCTGTCCTCAAATTTGACCAATGTGCTTTCTGAGCAGTAGCCAAAGTGACCTTCAGAAAGCATAAACCACAGTATGTTCCATGTAAAATCCTTTGCTGGTTCCCAGTGATGCTTAGAATGAACAACTTAGCCCTGGTCATAAAGACACCCTCCCTGGCTCTGCCTTCCTGTCTCCAAATCTTCCATGCCCAACAGTGTTCAGTCATGTGAGGCTTAGGTCACCTCACATTCCAAGAGCTGTCCTGCCTGACTTTGCACATGCCATTCCACTACTTTCCCCAGGTCTATGCTTATCAGATTCCCCTTCCTAGGGGGACTCATTCTCCACTGCTGTTTTCTAGCATAGAGAATCCATCTTCCTTAGCATTTCATGCAACCAGAAATGGTTGCCACTGTCTCCCTCACTAGAAAACGATGACTTTCCCTGTCTCAATTTCTGCCACATTCCTAGCTACCTAACATAGTGCATGGCACAAAGAAGTCCCTCACCAAACATCATGTCTTAAGCTATGTAAGCCTGGACTTTTGGATACGTGCTTGGCCCTTGCCCTGGGATTCCTAGGTCCAGGACAGTGTCAATCATTTCTGGTTGCATTAAAGTCTAAGAGATGAGCACAGACCTGTGAAAAGCAATGGGTGAAGAATGAGCAAAGTCTTTGAGGCAGGTAAAATCTTGGGTTGGGCTGTTCTAGATTTACACATCAGAATCACCAGAGGATGTCCCCCGCACCCCAAAAAGCACAGATTCCAAGACCCAACTTTGAGAATTCTGGTTCAGCATCTTCTAATAAAGAGTCAATTTCCTTTCTTCCGATCCAGAGTCAGTTGATCTGTGACCTGTTGGGCCATGCAGGTGACGTCCCTACAGGTAGCTACCTGCTTTTGTGGTCATATTGGATGCTGAGGTGGGAAGCTGCTGAGGTGACTGCTGTAAACACCATGAAGAGCAAATGCAGCTAACTCATCTCAGTGTCAAACTAATCAGACCCACAAAACCCTCTCTGTCAGCAGGAGGATAAGGTGCTCTGGAAAGCATCTGAGAGAGATGTAGTCACTTCCTGCTCATGGGAGATGCTGTCAGAGGAATCAGGGCTCCTTGTAGTAATAATCTTTAATCAATCAGCTTGGTCATCAGAGGCATCAGAACAAGTGGCATACCTCAGGACCAAACGATAATCTGAAAGAATTCAGATTGTCTTTCTCAAGAGGGTTTCATATCTTCATTTCAATGCTAACCTTCTATGTCCTTTATAGGCAATTGCATCTAAAAGGCTCTTGGCTGCTTTCTGTAAAATTGCCAAGATTTTTAAAGCCTCTTGTTCATGGCTGTCAATACAATGTTTTTTTTTTTCATGGAAGCATTTTTTTAAATGTCTTATTAATGTTTTATATTTTATATCTTGTTCTTGGTTTTCCTTAACTGTTTCTGTGGCTGCTGCTGAAATATGACACACTGTGTTGTTTCAGGAGATAATGACTAGTGGGGGAAAGCACACACATGCTCAGATGCATCTTTTTTCTAAAATTTTTTATCTATTGATTTGCTGACTCTGGACAAAGAACTCTGGAGCATGGAGGTGTGTGTGTGTGTGTGTGTGTGTGTGTGTGTCTGTCTGTCTGTCTGTGTGTCTGTGTGTATACATATATGTCATAGGGTTTTATTGCTGTGAAGAGACACCATGACCAAGGCAACTCTTATAAAGGACAACATTTAATTGGGGCTGGCTTACAGTTTCAGAGGTTCAGTCCATTTTCATCATGGTGGGAAGTATGGCAATGTGCACTCAGACTTAGTGTTGGAGAAGCCAAGAGATCTATATCTTGATCTGAAGGCAGCCAGAAGAAGGCTGTCTTCTGCACTGGGTGGAGCTTGAGCACTAGGAGACCTCAAAGCCTGCTTACACAGTGACACTCTTTCTCCAACAAGGCCACACCTAATAGTGTCACTTCCCATGGGCCAAGCATATTCCATATTCAAACAACCACAACATACCTACATAGGTATGTGTGTGTGTATATATATGTGTGTGTGTGTGTGTGTGTGTGTGTGTGTAAGAGGCATAGTAACATGTGCATATCATTTACCATGGAATAATACTAAGAGGACCATTTAGGCATTCACATGAAATGTATTTAGTTTTTCATATTTTTTGATCCTGCAATTTGACTTCTTAGAATTTATCCAACTTAACTTAAGCAAATCAACTTGGGTACATACAAATATGTAGCTAGTAAGATGTTCATTGAAGACCTGTTTGTACTTCTGAGAAATAGAAACAGTTTTAGATAGGTAGCAATTAAGGATTGGTTACATGAACTATGTACTTTATTAACTATAGCTCCTTACAGGGAGATCTTAAAAATTATGTGGCTCGGGCTGGAGAGATGGCTCAGTGGTTAAGAGCACTGACTGCTGCTCTTCCAGAGGTCATGAGTTCAATTCCCAGCAACCACATGGTGGCTCACAACCATCTGTAATAGGATCCGATGCCCTCTTCTGGTGTGTCTGAAGACAGGTACAGTGTACTTACATACATGAAATAAATAAATCTTTAAAAAAAAATTATGTGGCTCTAGAATATATAATTGCCTGAAAAGTAATCTGATTTGAGCAACAAGAAAACACAGAGAGCAGACTGGATATGGTGGTGTTGGCCTGTAATCACGACACTTGGGTGTCAGAGGCATGAGGATAGCTGCAAGCTCAAGACCAGCCATACCTCAAAGTGAGTTCCAAAGCTACATAACAAAACTCTATATCAAAATCAAACAATAAACCTAAGAACACAGGGCTAGGGGTGTGGCCAAGGGCAGAGTTGACTTCCAAGGTCAAATTGCCAAAGGCTGTAAAGATGGCACAATGGTCCGGAGTTCCTGTTTCTAAACGAATGACTGACATAAGCCAGAGTGCTCACTGCAGTTGCTCTCAACAGGGAAATAAGGTGAAAAGTTTATTTCCTTTCTCGCTCTGTATATAATATTCCAGTGTGTACAAAAATATCTAAATTTCCGAGTAAAGAGTTGCAAAATTCAGAATTTGACAATAGTTACCCTGCCTTTAATGCCAGTACTCGGGAGGCAGAGGCAGGCAGAGCTCTTGAGTTCAAGTCCAGCCTGGTCTACAGAATGAGTTCCAGGACAGCCAGGGCTACACAGAAAGACTCTGTCTCTGGAAAAAAAATATAAAAATATATCTAAAATATATAAAAATATAATGTTGACGCCTTTCCCCAGCTCAGCCCTTCAAACACCCATGCCCCTTCCTAAAAGCACTTGAAATGTTTGGTTTCTTATTTATTTTTTAATAATCTACCTCACTGATATTTTTATATTTATCTACTTGGGGGGATGGGTTGTGTTTGAAACAGGGTCTTTCTACATAGCCCTCACTGGCCTGGAACTTGCTATGTAAAGCAGACTGACCTTGAACTCACGGAGATCGGCCTGCCTCTGCCTGCTGAGCACTGAGACTAAAGGATGCATGCAGAACCCCTTCAGCTCTTATCTTTATTGACATACATTCGTTTTACTTATTGTCTCAAAAATATCCTGTCATGCTCACTGTTTTAGAGCTTTCTGCAGGCAATTAATGTATAAAATTGTGCTTTCATCTTCGTGGAAGTATATCTGAAGGATACACCTCAAAAAGTAGAGTTGCTGGGTTAACATAAATATATATTAGCAATTTGAAAAAAAATTAGTGTCTCTCCCCCACAGGTTACAAAAAAAAATTTCTTTGCACGGCCCTTTTTGCCCAGTATTTCAACAGTATGATTTTTAAAAAAATTCTCTTCAGATCCATCTTGATTTAGATAGGTTTGATAAACACTTACTGAAGACATAACTGGTTTAAAAGCCCTCACGTGGCCCCTCCCCCTTACGTGGAAAGTCAGGGCCTTGTTATCCCCATCTGTCAGGTCACAGGATCTAGATGCAGATAAGAGCAGCTTGCACCGGTTCACTTACACAGGGGTGAATACCACAGCAAGACCTGAGCTGTTCCCTTCGGTGGCAGGGCTTCCAGAGCCTGCTGGAGAGAACAGGCAAAGCCCAGCTCACCTTCCACTTTCAAGGGAGGCTTCTGTTCCAGGAGAAACTGCATTGGCTGGCTGGATTCTCATTCTGATGTTTTGTGAGTTGTTTAAATGTGGGCTGCATGGAATCGGACCCTGGGGTGGGAGGGCTTTAGAAAAGAATGCATTTGATTCCTGCAGGGATTCCGTAGACTGGCTACTTGCTGTCCGGCACAGCAGCTGTACTGAAATGTCAGGTGGATTTGTACAGATGACTCAAGTTGCCAAAAAGGGAGTCATGTAGTAGTTCCACGACTTGACTCTGCCCAGAAAACCTTGCTTAATATAGATCCCACATGAACTGAGCTACAGTCTCTCCCAGCAGCTCACACAATACCACTGAGTGAGAAAATCTCCCAAGGGTGGGTTGGCCTAAGATATTTGTTAATGAGAAGACATTGAGGTGTTTGCATACTGATTCCTTTTTTGAAAAAAAATATTGGATTGTTTCTTCTTTTCTGGTGATCTAGAAACAGATAGAAAAAGTGAACGATGTCGGAGCACAGCAGGAATTCAGAGCAAGAAGACACCCTTAGCGAGGAGCTTGATGAAGACGAAATCTTGGCCAACTTATCCCCTGAAGAGCTGAAGGAGCTGCAGTCAGAGATGGAAGTCATGGCCCCTGACCCCCACCTTCCTGTGGGGATGATCCAAAAAGATCAAACTGACAAGGCTCCTACAGGAAACTTTGACCATAAGTCTCTCGTCGATTACATGTATTTGCAAAAGGCGTCTAGACGCATGCTGGAAGATGAACGAGTTCCTGTCAGTTTTGTGCAGTCTGAGGTAACCAGGGATCTGTGTGGGGACACAAATGGCTGCCGGGCCTGGGCTGGCAGGGACGGTTTGGAATTGTGATTTCTCAAGACCACACTGTGTGGCTCTGTTTTGGATTTTGCTACATCTAAATTAAATCATAATACTAAGTTCTCTCTCAGACTGTAACTCTCTGAAAAGTGATATAATTGCAAGGGGGAAAGTTGACAAAGTCTTATCAGTGTTTCTCTTTCAACATTGGCACAGGGGTCTCTATGTGGAGTCTGTGGTCAGTAACCCTGATATGCAATGATTTAACTCAGAAACAGCTCTTCTGAATTTTTTTTTTTTTTGGTTTCTCCTTCTGAGAAGCTCATCCAAACTCTACTCCCCATTTCTCCAGCCTATTTATGCACATACAATATTTTTTTACATATAATGTCAAAGATTCCCCACTTCTGAGGAAATCCTGCCATACACACTAAACCAAAACCAAGCCTGAAAATGTGGTCACATTGTACATTGGGCATCAGTGTTGACATCTGAAAATTGACGTCTAAGAATGTGCCTTCAAGATAGTCCTCTCTTGAGACACTTTTATCTAAAAACTAGAGCTGGCATGAGCTTTGCAAAGCTACTATGTATAAAGCACAGTTAAAATTGTAATTACATTTTATTATTAGTTGTTCGTGTATGTGTGTGTGTGTGTGCATGTGTGTGTGTGTGTGTGTGTGTAGGTCATAGGTGGCGGCAGGTACCTTTACCTGAAAAGCCATCTTGATGGTTCTTAAAGGCAAAGTGTAATGTTGCACTTAAAAATAACTTAGAAAAAAGACAGATGAAAGTATGGTTTGTTCCAACCCACCTGCTAGGTATATCTTGTCACATTGGTGCAATAGAAGACAGTAGTAAACATTAAGCAGGAACTGGCATTCAGGAAATAAATCTCAGGCTTTATCAGACCAGAGCTTACCACGTCCTTTGCAAACCTCTTACAATTGCACGTCTGTGAGTTCGAAGACAATTCCACACAAAGACCAGTCTTAGAGGACTACAGAACCAATGCTTTTGTTTCTTTCCTTGGTGTGCATTGAACAGCTTGATGATTGGCTCCCCCTGCTGGGACAAATGAGGCAGGCGATGTTACAGAAGGTAGTTAAGGACAATGTTGTCAACTGTCAGATCTAAGGGGCCATGAGCATTAAGTTCTTGCTCAGAATACTGTGTGTCAGTCTTCTCCTCTAGTTGGGAATTACACCTGCAAGATGCACAGATGTACACAAAGTGGAGTAATCGAGTCAGGAGAAGCTAGTAAACAGTGATCTGCCTTTCCCTTCCCAGACACAGCAGAGTTGTAAATCTCACCCTAATCCTGTTCCATTTTAAGGCTGGCTCTTCCCTCAAGGCGCTTTGCTTCAGAGACTAGTGAGTAATGAAGGTGGTTTTCCCAGAGCCGGGATGCAAACCAAGATTTTAAAAACACACTCCAGATTATCAGAGTTCTCTCGTTTCCCTGCACCAAGTTACCATCTCATAGGCTCAGGAAATGCAACGTCGTGCATGCCTATGAGAGCCACGGATACTTTAGGAAGGATATAAGGAATATTTTTTTGAGACAGATTTCTCTCTGTAGCCTTGGCTGTCTTGGAACTCACTCTGTAGATGAGGCTGGCCTCAAATTCACAGAGATCCACCTGCCTCTGACTCCTGAATTAAAGGATAATAAACTGCTATTAAAGGCATGTACCACCAGAGCCCAGCAGGAAGCTATTTTCTAACACAGCTCTGGGGAGTACAAACACTCCCTTTCAACTACACATGAAACAAAGGTTTTGATACAAGGATTTAAAAATCTGTATCATTTCCAAATATGTTTTAACAACCATCTTTAAAAGTGTAGAGCCTAACCCTAATCCTAATAGACTAAAATTAACTAGCTTTTATTTTAATGCACTTGGTCTTGTGTATCCTCAGGGACTCCATCCTTGAATTCAATGAATTATGAACTGAAAACACTAAAAAAGATTTATTTATTTATTTGCCATGTGGACTGGATACATACAGATTTTTTTTAATTTTTTAAAAACAAAACAGTGTCCCTGTTTACGTTACTTGTAGTAGCTATTAGGTGGTCTAGAGACAGTGTAAAATGTCCTTGTATGGACAGGTGGGTGTGCAGTATAGAAATGTGTATATATATATATATATATATATATATATATATATATATATATATAT